TGTAAATTGTCTAGTTTCTATACTTGATAGACATGCTCCCTTAGTTACCTCCAGATTTACAAAAAAGAAAGCTCCATGGCTAACTTTCATTATAAGGCAAATGATGAATGAAAGGGACAAGGCATTAAAAAAATATAAACGTACAAAATTGGAAGGTCACTTACAATTTTATAAAAACCTTAAAAATTACACAAATCAAGCTATAAAAAGAGAAAAAAGAGCTTACTTCTTACATCAATTTAGTAAGTGTATATATAAAGAAATATGGCACACTTTAAAATCTAATAATTTTGTCAAAAATAAAAATCAAGATATTCCCGAAAATTTAAAAAATCCTAACCACATTAATAATTTTTTAGTGAACTCAATTTCAAATATTATTCCGCCCCAGAAGTTATTAAACTTTTATAATACTAATAATGTTGTACCTTGTACATTTAAATTCAGAGAAGTTGACGAAACATTTATATTTACCAGTATTTGAAAAATGAAATCAAATGCGATAGGCTGTGCGAACAGTAAGTTTGTTAAATTATGCTGTCCGCATATTGTTCCATACATTACGCATATTATCAATTTTTGCCTTTTAAACAATGTTGTGCCTACTGTCTGGAAAAAAGCAATTGTAAAAGTGATACCCAAAAAACAAAACCCAACTGAGTATAAAGACCTTAGGGGGATCAGCATTTTACCAATACTATCCAAAATTTTAGAAAAAGCAGTGGAAAAGCAAATAACAGAACATTTATCAAATAACTCATTGTTGCCCCCTGTTCAATCAGGTTTTCGCAGAGGGTATAGCTGTACAACAGCACTTCTGGAAATATTAGATGATATCATTACTGCAACTGACAAAGGGCATTGTACTATCTTAACTCTATTAGATTTTAGTAGAGCTTTCGATACGATAAATCATAATTTATTATTAAGCATCTTGCATTATATAGGTTTTGCTGACAACGCTATATTATTTATTAAAGATTTTTTGGAAAATCGCAAACAATGTGTTAAAATCGATGAACATAAATCAGAATTTTTAAATCTTCACTCGGGCGTACCCCAAGGTTCCATTTTAGGCCCTCTGCTTTTTTCAATATACACTTCGAACCTTATTAATTCTTTAGAAAACTGTAAAATTCACCTATATGCCGATGACACTCAGATTTATTACAGTTTCCCTCCAGATCTATCACAAAATGCGTGTGAGATAATTAATCGTGATTTGAATTCTTTTGTTGGATCAGCAACTGAGCACTGTTTACTAATTAATGCTTCAAAATCTAATGTGATGTTGTTTGGATCAAGTCGTAATCGTGACAAAATTATTGAAGAATTAGGTATTGAAATTAATAATGATAGACTAACCATAGTAAATGAAGCTAAAAACTTAGGAGTTTTAATTGATTCTGAATTAAGGTTTGAAAAACACATCACTAAATTGATTCAGAGAGCTTATAGCTCATTAAAATTGATATACGGTAATGGTAAGTTGTTGCCTAAAAGTATTAAAATATCACTATGTGAATAACTTGTACTATCAAATTTTAATTTTGCTGATTCTGTCTATGGTCCAAATTTAACAGTAACCTTCAAAAAAAAAATACAAAAAATACAAAACAGTTGCTTAAGACTCATATACGGTATAAGAAAATATCAAAGGATATCACATAAACTCAAAGAAATCGGTTGGCTAAATATGGAAAACCGACGAATTCATCATGCAACTACGCTATACCACAAAATTGTCTTGTATAAAATCCCCATTTATCTTTACAAAAAAATATCCTTTAGGACAGATGTTCACAACTTAAATTTAAGATTCAAAGGTCTACTATCACCACCTCAATTTAGATCCGAACTATTTAGACGTTCGTTTTCATATCAAATTTTTCAATTGTATAATTCTGTTCCTATTATATTTAAAAATCTTAACCCTCTTACTTTCAAATGTAAATACAAAACCTTGTTATTTAGCAAGCAATGCACTTAAATCGTAATTGTTCTACCTGTCCCCTCCAAAATATAAAAATATAAAGATATAGTTTTTTGTTTTTATTTTGATTTTTCAATATGTTTAGATTTAGTTCATATACCTACTCGTATTTACATATGTATATAAACACCATCATTGGGTTAAGTGGAAGAACATTTTCCAAGTGTTTTTTTTAAACTTTGGAAAGTGAACTTCGCCTTTTGTTTTCTTTAATAAACTATTAGTAATATTAATCTTGTAAAATGCTGTAATGAAAACAATAAAGACCTTTATTATTATTATTATTATTATTATTATTATTATTATTTGGGAAATAGGGGTACTTCATATGGGAGATTTGATTTCAACAATATGCTTGAAAATAAGTGCAAGGGTCTCTTTTATTAGAAGAAAAGAACTTACTTAGGCTTGCTAGGGATTTTGGCATATCAGATATGATTACAACAAAAAATGATTTGAGTGTCATTACCCGGCAACTTTTTCTAATCCATTTTTACCGAATGTCTAGCAATTGTCCTAACATATTTTTGTAGGAATAAAAGTTGTGTACACATATGTAAGTTAAAAATGAATTTTGTGTCGAATTATGGCTCGATACAGACGTCAAAAGTAAATAGATACGTGCTATAAACAGTGGCGGCTCGTGGGCACTAGCGGCAGTGGGGCACACACTGGAAAGGAATCCCGGGATTCGTTTTTCCCTTAGGAAAACAAGTTCTCCGCTTAATGAAAATTAAATATATTTCAAAACAATCAGTTGCGGCAATAACAATTTCTGAATGTGACTACAGGGAGCTAAATGTGACCACTCAAAATGCATTTAACTATGTATGTGGCTATTTTATCAAAAAATCATTACATATCCACTCTTATGAAAATTGCGTAAATTTCTCAGAAGAATGCAATTTACTTAACAATTCTAACTTGTTAACTCATTTTAAAGCATACGACTCTGAAGTAAAGGTGTTTGGCAATTTAAAATCTCCCAACGAAAAATTTCTCTTTTATATTTTCAAATTAGAAAAAATATTTATATCTCTATTTGATAGTTTGTCAACTAAGCCTGGAATTTCCAACGCATACCTTTTTGAGATGAGCAAAATAGAATTTGGTCATCCTTGCCAACAATTTGCGAAAATGTACACCATTAAATTATTTATAAGACTCAGAATTTTTTATACTCTTAAATATGCAAACAGAGATTTGAAATCCTCTAAAAAGTCAGACAAAAACAAAAAAAAAATTAAAATTTTGTCCCATTTATAAAAATTATTGATTTTTTTTCATCATATTTTTAAATGCTTTATTTATTATAAGTTATTTTTCTTTGTAGTTTTATTTCTTAACTATTCCAATGTCCAACTAACGTTTTTTCGTAATCACAATAAATACATTATTATCATGGTTCAACAAACGCGCTCCTTAAGCCAAAACCGGCATCGCCTTTGTGAGGGAGCCGGTAAAGATGCCGCTGCGTACATTCGTATCTGGTATACGTAGCTGTCATTAGATGCGTTTAACGTAGGTATACGTTTTTGGTATTACTTCAATTTTTTATTACCATATCTCTCCAAGAAAACGTTAGCGATGTTATAAAGTTATTGGATTAGATTTTCGACAGAAAATTATTATTTTCCATTTCGATATATACAGTATGTCCCCGGATAGGTCAAACGAATCTTGAAAAAGGTACAAAATTTAGGTTTTAAATTTTTATTTTGTGAGATTGAGCGCTGCTTGGTTATAGAATAATTTTTAACATTATTTTAGTTTTGAACAGTCAAAGATTTTAAAAATCCTTTTTTCTCCAGAATAAACTTCCTTTTATGTTGCAGATGTGTATGATCAAAAGTTATTAAGAAAAGTTCTTTACAATTGCCTTAGGTGCGTATACCAAATTTGAAAATCTGCCAACTATAATTTTTCATTTATTTTGTCAATATGAAAGATCAAAGTTGGCCGAGGATTTTTAAATTTGGGATACGGACTTATTTATTTTTATTTTAAGCAACTTTTCCAAATATTTTTTTGACGAATTTGTTGCCGAAAACCTGCCATCTTGACAAAATAAATGAAAAATCACAGTTGGCCGAGGATTTTCAAATTTGATAGTTTTTGGTTATATATGCAAAACAAAATAGAGTAAATAGAGTAAAATAGGTTTTTTGAAAATTTCCAAGATATCCATGATTTGAAAATTAGAAAATTAGTCTTTAACCAAGCAGGGCTGATCCCCAAGAAATGAAAATTTTAATCGAGGATTTTGTACTTGCTCCTCCTGCAAATATTCACTCGTTACATAAAATAAGGCATTTCGTAACTGGTTTAATAAATTGCTATTATAAAACTAAAAACGGTTAAAGAAAAATATATAAAATCGAAAAATAATATAGACACACTAGACATTATGACTGAAAAACAGTGTTTTTTGGTTTATAAGTATAAAATATATTAAGCATACTCACTTAATTTTTTCTCAAGACATGATCAGAAATTCATTAGAAACTAATAAATTTAAATAAAAAAAATGAAATAAAGATTTTTTAACAATAAAATTGTCCCTATCTATAAAATAAAAAATAGCTTGTCCTAAATATTTAAGACTAATATAAAATCATTGTAAGTTAACCCAAAAGTTTAATGTTATAATAATTTTAAAAGTAAAAATTCAAAGTAGCACAATTTTATATGTCTAACTTTTCTTCTTAATGAACAAGCATTTTTAGGCTAGAGTGCATTCAACATTTTAATTGCAAACAGTCAACATATATGTTTTATTTTTTTCCTGTTCACAAAAAAAAATGTCGTTAACAGTTTTACTTGCAGCAATTAATACGAGCGTTAATTGATAAGCTGACATATGACTCTTAAAAATTAATCTTTACAGTTTAATTCCATTTACTTGTAATTAGAGAAAGTAACTTAATCTGTGGGAGGAAAAAATGTTCTTATTACAAACCGCAACGCCCCTTTACTTTTGTTATAAGGATTATATTGACAGTCGGTGCGTTGTTTCAGTGGTGTAAATTCCAATTATTTCCTTCTAGATCTAACGGCATTGCGGTAGAATGGTACGACATTTTATCTGATTAATATTTTTATTAAAAACAAATGAAATTAAGAAAAGTTCATAAAAATTAGCATAGTTACAAATTTCCTATGTATTTGATGATTATACTTTTATTACTTTGTAATAACGAAAAATATAATTTTTATATTTACCATATTTCTTAAATCTGTTTTTTATTAATTTTATTGTTTTACCTATTTTTAGAGTTTTAACATAAAATCGAATCATTAATAATTTTTAGTTACTAATATAATTTTAAATCCAATTTTTTGATGTTTCTGAACAAAAAATGCAAATTATATTTAATTATTAAGGTGTCTTTAAAAAATGTATTACAGAAAATGGTAAATTAAAATTTTGTATTTCAATAAATATTCTATTTTTATGTTAATTGAATTTCGAACGGCAAAAAAAACAAGATGACAGTAGAAAAATATGTTTAGGTAGAACATAAAAATAAAATGTAGACAAAATAATGTATCTAAGTATAAATCTAAAATTAAAAGTATTTATCTCATATATACTATTCATCTCAAATGTATAGCTATTGAGAAATAAAGATTGATGTTCAACGTTTTTATCCCTTTTAAAGATTTTTGATATATTAAGTTTTTTGTGTTAGCACCATTAACGATTGCTTCATTAGAATTATATGATTTTAAAATATATTTTTTTTTCAGACCAAGTAAATGGAATCACATCTATCACCCCCTTTTAACTAAAAAGTAAGTATTTTTTTTATAATATATACATAATATTTTAGCAATGATATCGATCAGTGACAATATTATATTATAATGGTTTCAATATATTTAACATTTATTTATCAATCATTTTTCAACTCAAAAATATCTATATAATATTCAAATATAATATTCCTATTTAAAATATATCTAAGATTCCTATATAATATTCTTTTATAATATACAGGGTGTTCCAAAAAGATTGATCATATATTATATGACATATTCTTGGGTCAAAAATAGGTCGATTAAACCGTACTTACCTATATACAAAAGTGCACCCAAAAATAGTTACAGGGTGTATAAGATAAAAATTTTGATTTTTTTAACGTTGCTGTTAAACCGTTTGGCATTTTTTCATGAAATTTTATAGGACGTGGTAGAATACCATGACTAATAATACCGAGGAAGAAGCAAAATTTTTTTCTTGATTTTTATAGGTTTTTGGAGGGGGTCGCCGCTCTTTTCTCCACCCAACTTTTTTGTAGTATAAAATTTAATTACAAATGCAACGCAACTAGAATGCCACATCCATTCGGAAACTTTTTTGTCTCTTAGTATTTGTTTGTAAAAAGTTTAGTTTAGACGATACAGCCATTTGAAATGACAACTTCAAAATATTCAATGGAAATTCTACGTATGAAAAATATCAAAATCAAGTTTATTTTTAAATTACAAACTAATGTCATCAAAATAAAAAAAAATTATTTAACAGGTGTTCAAAATTACATTCTCCTCCTGTATACACTTTTTACATAGTTTTAACAATGACAATCGAATTTTGATATTTTTGCATAGGTACGTATAATTTACATTGACTATTTTTAAGATGTCATTTTGAGTGGCTGTATCGTCTAAACCAAATATTTTACAATCAACTACTAAAAGACAAAAAAGTTTTTAAATAGATGTTGCATTTCAGTAGCGTCCGATTTTTAATAAAATTTTATATTACAAAAAAGTTGAGTAGAGAAAGGGACGGTGACATCCTCCAAAATCCTGCAAAAATAAAAAAATATATTGCCTCTACCTCGATTTTTTTAGTCATGGTATTCCAACACGTCACATAAAATTTCATGAAAACATGTCAAAGGGTTTAAGAGCAACGTTAAAAAAATTCATTTAAATTTTTATCTTATACACCCTGTAACTATTTTTGGGTGCACTTTTGTATATAGGTAAGTACGGTTTAATCGACCTATTTTCGACCCAAGAATACGTGGTATAATTTATGACCAATTTTTTGAAACACCCTGTATATCTAATATCCATATATTATATTCTTATAAAATATTTCAACATAATATTTGTATACCTACATAAGATCCCTTAATAATATTCCTATATAATACTTCTATATATTATTTTTATACCTATATATTATTTCAACATAATATTCCTGTACCTATTTAATATCCCTTAATAGTATTTCTATTTAATATTCCTAAATAATACTCCCATATAATATTCCTTTAGAATATTCCTATATAATATTTCAATATAATATTCCTTTATATTATTTCTATTTTTAAAAAACGATGAATCAGGATAAATAGAGGTTACAACAAATATATTAAACAAAAAAGCCATGGATGCACTACATTCTATATAGATACAGTTAGTTAAAGATTCCTATATAATATTCCTCTAAAAAATGCCTGTATAATATTCCTATATAATGTTCCTATTTAATATTCCTATATGATATTTCTACATAATATTCCTATACCTATATAATATCCGCTTAAAATATTCCTATATAATATTCCTATATAATATTCCTATATAATATTCCTATATAATATTCCTATATAATATTCCTATATAATATTCCTATATAATATTCCTATATAATATTCCTATATAATATTCCTAAATAATATTCATATATAATATTCCTATATAATATTCCTATATAAATTATTTCTATATAATATTCCTATTTTTAAAAACAATCAGGATATAGGTACAGAGGTTACATCAAATGTAATATTAGAACATCTATTGGCAAATTCTTTAAGTAAAGAGGGTATGAACAATAGAGTCACGGGTGCTCTACAATATTCTATACAAATAGGGGGAACATCCACATGTATTCTTAACTAAACGGTGAGTCTACTCACCAATAGATGGATGGACTCTATTTTATTTCACCTTATTTAAATATTTACAGTGTGTCTACCTATGTTGACCCTATATAGAAAACATTTTTATAATTACTTTTAATGACAAAAAGTTTATTTGCATAAAAATGCATTGAAAAACAAATTAAAGACAGTAAAAGTTAAAATACTAGTTAGAATTTATAAAATAATTGATATTTAATCTAGGATGGCGCTGATAAATGTATTATAGTTATCGTCAAAACACTAGTAATATCTGACAGTAGTTTTTATCTAACTATTTTAAATACTGTTGAAGATAAAAGTACTTTTGTCTTACATAAATTCATATTTTTAAACAAACAGTCATATACAAGGACTGAAAAAACGTAATACCTATTGACCAGATTTTGGGTTTTAGGTCATGCAGAACTTTTTATGGAGAATACATCTTTTGCATAAAACCAATAATGAAAAAGTTTCCAGTACTTATAAAGCCAACTCAAGTAGTCACAATGTATATAGAACATGTCTCTACATAAGTTGGCTACATATGGGAAACTTTTTTATTGTTAGTAGTATAAAAAAAAAATATTATTTTTAAAAAAAAAAATTTCTGGTCTATAAAATCTAAAATACAAACATCATATTTTAATTTTTTTAGGTAGTACACACCTCATAGTGTAAAAAAATGACTTTTGCTCAAGAGTAAAGTACCTTTATTTTTGACAAATCTCATATACGTATATGGTTGAATTTTAGCTTTTAAGTCATGAAACATTTTTTATGAAGAAAACCTTTTTTTCCTAAAATTAATAATAAAAAAGTTTTCCATATGCCGCTAACTTACGTAAACAGCTCCTAGCATATTGAAAACTTTTTATTATTAATTTTAGGAATAAAATGCATTCTTCATAATAAATTGTACTTGATCTAAAATCCAAAATACAACCATCATATACCAATTTATATGAGTCGTATACGAGATTTGTCAAAAATAAATGTACTTTTACTGCTGTAGTTTTTTTTGTCACCAGATTCGGTACCTAAGGTTGAAATAAATTTTTCCTACGACCACTTAGGAAAGTGACACATATCACACTATATAGTCTTATCGAACCCTATATCACACGCGTATGAATAACAATTTGCTTTTTACCCGTGTGCGAATATGCTACTTTCCGCATCAGCTGTCACAAAATGTCAAACGCATCATTTCTATTTTGATCTATGTAATGTCCATATTAATACTAAAATCGATATGATTGTTAAATTAGTGAAATTATTGCAAATTAGATCCTAGATATTTATCTTTAACAATTATTATTAAAATAATTTTAAAATAAATAAGTAATGTTTGCTTTTTATTCTGGTTAAACACATAACCGATTGACGCAAGGCTTATTAGATCAGGTGGTAGAGTATCAAACTTTATCAACTTTGCCATTTGAAACCTGGCGAGCGACCGCGTTCAAATCCTTGCGGGGGCAGAATTTTTTTTTGATTTTTTTTATTTTTTTTTTGTTTTTTAGTTTTTAGTTTTTTTTGTTTAGAAAATATGAAAATTGAATAAATACGATTACTGTTGATTATTTTTTTAAATAAATTTTAATTATTATAATAATAACCTGGTTTTACATTTTTTGATGAAATTATTTTGCGGTCGTAGGAAAAATATTGTACATCACTTGTGTGAAAAGTGATTTTTCACACTCGTGTGATAGTCGCACTCGGCTTGTGCCTCGTTTGACAATATTTCCCACTCGTGTGAAAAATGTCACTTTCCACACTCGTAATGTAATATACTATACTAAATGAAATAATAACTACTTATTAAACTTTATAATTTTAATATCATATAATATTTGTGATGTTTGATTAATATAAAACAATTTATTTTTTAAATTATTGATAATTTGAGTACATAATTTAAAATAAACATCCTTTTAGCGGTTTGAGAAGGTTATATTATTTTAATTTATTCCTTATTCTATTATTATCATGTTCTTGTTTGTTTATACAAATAAAAGAATTTATAACGAGGATGCACCTCAAAATTATCATAAGCCATGAATATCAAATTTTATCTAGAAGAAATCCCGTTTTTATGACAAGTGGGCTTCAAAGTGATAAAAAAAGACAACCGAAAGGAAACGGAAAACGCTATCAATCTCGCGTTGGTAAATAATTAGTTTCTTATAGTGCGAAATTCCAGATAGATATTAGGTTATGCGATATCGGGGTCTTTCTTTCAGTGGTTCCCCAATTTAAAGTATTTTTTTTATCTACATATGAAATTTTTAAAAGTATTTCACAAACCTTAGTAATTTATTAGGGTCGTTGTGATGCAAAAGTCACTTTTTGCTTCTGAACTAGTCTTAAGATAATCGTAAAAAACTATTTTAAATAAAATTAACGCACCACTTAATGCACCACTTATATTTTGCTCGATAATCTTTATTTATTGATAAATTACTGTACGACAAGTAGGCCATGGACCTTGTTTGACAGTGACAGTTGTTTTTTAAGCTAGCTAGTTTCACGTAATACCTTGTTTTGACAGTAATTCGTATTAAACCTCGTTTTAGACTAAAACTGTGTTAACATTTTCTTAAAAAGTGCTGATTAAAGCAAAGTTTCTGTTAGAAGCAAGCTGTTGATTGTAATTGTTTTTATTACATGCATGTTTGAAAGTTCATTTGGGAGAATATCAAGTAAAAAAATGAACCGTCAAAGAAATCTGTCACTGGAGGAGGCAGTGCGAGCATCGACTCTCCCGAATGAAGGATATTCAATGCGATATGTTGCTGGTTTGTTAGGAAGACATCATTCCAATCAGTCACATAGTGAGGCGACATAATGAAACGGGTTCGTTCCATC